CGAATCGAGGATATCAACCTAGTTTGTAGGTCCTAATACATAAGTGGAAGAGAACATATAAGAACCTGGAGGACTACATCGAAGGAAAAGAACATCTAGAACTAGCGAGGAACTTCAAGAAGAAGAGTCACGAGTAAAGAAGTAAGGAGGGCACTACTAGTCCACAACGGAGACTATAGTAAAAAGGGGATAGGCGACAGGACGACGAAGCCAGGGATAATGATTGACAGGAATAATTGAAGAAAAGATAGGAAGGACATCAAGAAGGCATTGAGGTGATTTCCAGCGGAAAACAAGTTGGACCACAGGAACGCCACCAAGAACTAAGAAGCTAAGTAGTCAGCTGTAGGATGGAAGCGTGGTTGTTCAGATGTGACGAGGGTGAGAACTTTATAGGAACAAGAACATAAGTGAGGAAGAGCATATGAGAATTTCGAGGGACTCCAGCAAAGTTCTAAGGATGTCATAATCGATAGTACGAGAACTCTGAACCCTAGCGACAATAAGAAAGCATTAAGTGAGTCACTGAGGAGTAAATAAGTAGATTGAAAGGGAAATGATTTTGAAGGGATCGTAGGTGTGATCGGAAGTGAGAGAACTAATACATGGGATGTATGTAATGCATATAGAAAGTAAAAGCAGTAGGTTGAGATTTCAATGCTAAGCAACAAATAATGAGGAGATAACGACTCAGTTGATGGCTAAAGGATAAGACGAAGTATTAAGGAAGAAAGTAAGAGATGCATATTGAGGAGGTACAAGGACCTAGATGACCTACGGACGCGGTTACGTTAAAAGAGTTTTGCGATCGAACAAGAAGGAGGTTACGCCGCCATCAGTAATCTTGGGGTTTGAAGTGGCACTACCTGCTTATGTACCAAATGATGGAGATAGTGGATGCCCTACATATGTTCGAAGTACATGACCGATGTAAAGGGGGTAAGAAGCATCAGACAACCGGATATTACTGATCAAGTTGAATGCTCATCATGGACGTTTACGTCATGGATTTCAAGGAGGTGCATCTATAGTCGTGAAAAGGAGAACATTATAGGTCAAAATACTGGTGAATTATTTGACAAAGTTGCTTAAGGTTATAGCTCGATGTCGTGCAAGTCAAGGGAGGTACAACTCCTTGTAAAAAGATTAGCACAAGTGAGACTTGGAGTCAGCACAAGGGACAAATTTCGAGGTCGAAATTTTTCTTAAGGAGGGGGAAATGTGATATCTCAATTTTGGATTTAGGTTCAACAATAACTACCAGGTAAATTTGATCAACATGTCCAGCCAAATTGGCATTTTGTTTCACCACTTTTGGGTAAAGTGGTGAAATAAAAAGGGGGTGAGTCACTCAAGGTTACACGAGTGCTACCAGCTAAGGAAATATAAATGATCAAAAGTTACCAGCGAAGTTGTTATGGTAATAGTAAATGATCGTGGGAATGAAGTATACGAACGGTGATGATAAAAGGATGATTCCGAGCAGATTTCGGGGATGAAATTTTTATAAGTGTGGAGGAAATGTTACACCCTGCACTTTTTTAAAGGTTTAAAATGACTATTATACCCTTGGGGAAATTTGTCAAATCCCACCGTAATACAGATGAGGACAAAAAATGTGAACTACCTGTTCAAGCGGTATCGAATTTCAGCATAAAATGAGAAAGTTACGGACGTTATCCTAGTTTTGGATCAAACTCACCCTAAGCAAAAAGTTCCGAAATTACCCCTAGTGCCCGTTAAAACCTAACCTAAACCAAAAGGGCCGTAATGTTTGGGGTTTGTTTCTCAAGAGAACTCCATTGCCGCCGCAATTCGTCTCCCTACCACAAAAAATCGCAGCTTGCCTTTCTTTTTCTTCTTCTCGCAAAATTAATCCAGACAAGCGCATCCCGACGTCTCTCCTTCTACCAACAAAGAGAAGAGCATACCGGAGATGGAGAGAGAGGCAGAGCGCAACGACGAGAAAATGATACCCTTAGATCAAGTAAAGCCGCTAATTATCAGGTGAGTGTAAAGGCCGTAAATTCTATGCCTTACGGTATTTCATTTTTTTAGATTGACTGCTATTTTCCTTACTTGGCTTTGTATGTTTACATGATGCATGTGATTCCGTGTGATTTATGCTTCCATTTATACATATTATAATGCATGCTTTATTTGTAAGTAAGTTGAAGTTAATAACACATTTTCTTTTAAGAAGTACTTCACCTTCAAGAAGGTGAAATAGTTTTAAGAGTTTTTAGTCACTAGCGCCAGTTCATTGCCATTTGAGAAAGAGCAGCAGTTATGCTCTTGAGACTTTTAAGAAGAGCATCATTTATACTCTTGAGAATCGTGGTGAAGAGCCACCACGATAAGTTTAAGATGTTAGGGGGATGAATCGTTACGACTCCCCTAACTAAGTTTAAGTTTAAGGAAAGCCTGGATGGATTCTCATACGTATGAGTTGGAAAACCGGACTAGCTAGTGAGGGATCCCCGTTTCGGTCAAGTATTTAAGATGAGATTTGAGTTTTAAGAATGGAGAGTAACAGTAGCTCCCATACAACTTTAAGAGTTAAGAATTTTAAAAGTGGAAGTACAAGCAACTTCCACCAGTTTAAGTTAAGTGTCTTAATTAAAGTATTCAAGTACTAGAGATGTTAAACGTAAGGGCGTGAGAATGTCCCCATCTCACTCGCGAGGCCTTAGTAAAGGAATGAGCGAGAACCAGATCGATATCAGCTAGCTAGGAGAGCAGTGAGATCGAGAGAGTCGTCGAGGCAAGCCAGCTAGAGGAGGATAGTACAAGCGTCACTGAAGGTGCCCGAGATCGAATCCGAGCAAACAAAAAAGTAGAGTTTTAGTTATTGCTTTACGATTATTAGTAGTTACTAGAGATTCGGATAAAGAGTTTTATGTTTGAGGTTTGCCCAAGTGTTAGTGCTTTGTTTTAAGATATGTCAGTTTAATTTTAATATGATTAAAGTTATTTATGAAAGGTTTCCGTTACTTTTTTCCAAGTCTTTTTTTAGTTCAAATTTTGATTCACGCTTTATCACGGTTATTTTGGTATAAGTATTGTTCGGCCGGACTAGGGTGTTACAAACCCCCTGCCTGTCAAGTCGGCGCTGAGAGTTGAACCTCGGAAGCGACAACGAACGCCGGCTCCAACCGTGGCGGCAACCGAGCATGAGGAAGGAGATGCACAATCACTACCACCATCGCTGAATAGTAGGATGCAAACTTCCCGGAGCTTGGAGGTCCAATCGAGGGATGTGATTCTCTTCGACGGTCACCGACGACGTGGTGAGGAAATTGCAATCCCCTGTCGGGTGACTCTTGATTCGGGTCCAATTGTACACATTTTCCCCCTCATTTCTTGATAGTTTGACTTTGTATTTCATCGTCTCTCTACCTATTTTACGCTAGGTTGTGCTTGTTTTGGTATATTTAAGGTCCTAGCACGTGTGGGAATGTCCTGGACGAGTTTGGGTCATTCGGAGGTCAAAACGAGCCAAAAAGTGGAGGCTGAGCCCTGTTCACGTGCTAGAGCTTCAGCTCACGGTCTCTAAGACCATGAACTGAAAGCCCAGACCATGAAGTGACCAATTTCCAGAATGGTTTGGAAGTTACTAGCACCAAGTCAGCTCACGGTCTCTAAGACCGTGAACTGAAAGCCCAGACCGTGAAGTCGTCAGTTCAGTGTCTAAGACTGTGAACTGATCAACGCGGCCGTGAACTGCAGTCTAAGTCCGTGAACTGATCAAATCATCCTTGAACTGAGGTCTAAGACCTTGAACTTATCAACGTGGTCGTGAACTGAAGCCTAAGACCTTGAACAGAGCCCGATCTGGGTATAAAAGGAGTTGTTAGCTGAAGGATAAAATGGAGCTTTTTCTAGGTTTTTAGTTTTAGAATAAAGGAGGATTTCTAGTGAGATATTAGGTTTTCCTCTTCCTAATCTAGCGAGAGAAAGTGAAATTCAAATGAGGAATAAGGAGATTTGGGCTCATTTCAAGCTAGAGGAGTGAAGGTTTCTTCTTCTCAAGGGAGATTCAAGCAACAAGGAGGAAAGATTTTCATCTCTTAATGGTTCTTTCTCTCCTTTACCTTGTTTTCCTTTGCCTAGCTATGGAATAGCCTACCTATTCACTTGGGTGTTTGTAAACCCTAGCTACAACTATGTGAATGCTTGTGTGAATTGAATGATTTGTGCGTGGTTGTGTTTAATGTGAATGTGGAGGTATTATTCATGAATGATTGTGTTGTGTGAAAGCCTATCAATCTAATTGCCATTCTAACCTAGCTTAGAGAGGAGACATTCTGAGGTTAAGAGGCTCAATTTGAGATGGGTGTTCTTGGGCATTGCATGCCTCCTAGGCTAGTTTAGAGAGGAAACCTCCTTTATCCAAAGAGTCTCAATTTGAGTTGGGTTTCCTTGGGCATCCAATGCGTCCTAAACTAGTTTAGAGAGAACCCACCTTAACCTAAGAGGCTCTATTAGAGATGGGTTTCCTTGGGCATTTCATGCCTCCTATTCTAGGTTAGTTAAGGGCAAACCTCCTATTTCGTATTAGCACTTAGAGTTTGGTTGTGGGTGGCCGTCCAAACTCCAATTCGAGGGTGAAGTCTAACCATTCCTTAGTCAATAGGTTGAGAGGTTCACATTAGTCGCTTGGATCGTATCCCATTTCCTCAACCTAGAGACTAAGAGGGTAGCTTTGGCTATTTCTTAGAATTCCCTGCGGTTTACAACCCACGCACCACACACGGCCATTCGATCCATCAAGTCGTAATTGCTAGCTAGGGGGACAACACCCGGGTGAACTCTTCTCTCATTGGGACAACCTCAATTTACTTTACTTGCTTGTTTTCATTTGTAGGTTTCTTAGTTTTAAAACAAAAAACTTTTGCTAGATAACAACCTAAGTGATTGAAGTAGGAGTACATGGATCGACCCAGGTTTGACAATCAAATACTTGCACCCGGCTAGAGTTCAAAAACTTAGGCTCTAGTCAGGATTAATTCGCTGTGTAGTTTTGAGCGAGTCAACTCCGCCGACGCTTTAATCACCTCCAGCAGCGACACATCCACTTGTCGCTCGAGTCATGGCAATGACGATCGAGACGGCGGAGCAATAAGCACAGGGGTGTGTGGCAAAACAAACGAAGGACGAGAAGAAAAAAGAGTCGTCGGAGCCGCGAATCGCACGAAGTATGCCGCATTTGAAAATGAACTCCGTCGAATCGTCGATCAGGAAGGAGAAGAAGGCGGAGAGGGAATCGTAGACGGAGTACGAGGCAAAGCTGAAGACGGCTGCGAGGTCAGACTAAACCCGTGGTAGTCGAGTATTGTTACCGGAGAAGGTAATCGGAATGAAGGCGGCACCGTCGAGGGAGTTGCAGACTACGACAAACGAAGAGAAGGAGGCGGACGTCTTCCTTTCTCCTATGAATTCTAGGACGCCAGCCTTGAGCAAAACAACACTGTGTCGGGCCGCTCCGTTCGGCCAAACTGATCAGTCAGAGTCTTCGTACGAGAGACCTTTCGTCGGGCTTACCATGGGTAGGTTGGATCCGTGGGGTCAACCTATTCTGATCACTTATGGTAATGGGCTAAGAGGAGTGGGCTTTCTAATGGAGAAAGTGGACATGAGTTTTCTTTGCGGGCAGACCAGGAGTAAAGAGGTTGATGAGTTCGTTTACGAATGGAGATGAAGTGGGCTAAGAAGGGGTTTGATATTGGGCCAAACAAGAAGGGATCATATGTGTCTCAAGGGGGAATTGGATCGTGTCAGCTGATAAGTATTGAGCTCAACAGGAGCTATTTTTGGAAATTGGCAGGCTTGTATGAAATTCTAATGTTAGCAGATGGGCTTTTAAAGGATTCAAGCCCAAACGAAATTAAGAGAAAGAACAGAAAGAGGCTTGACAATGATTTGGGCCACATGTTTCACTTCCAAGCAATTATGGGTTGAATTCAAGGTGAAAGAAGAGAAGGTTGGGTAAAGGTAGAGCTTGCCTCCGTCACCAAGTCCATGGAAGAATTGATGAAGTACAAGGATTTCTTCGACTCATATTTCGTGGACTTTGAAAGCGAGGACAAAGAATTGTTCGGTAATGTAGAAGGTGACATGTGTCATGGGATTCTAGAAGAGTCGAGAGAATTTGGATTTGTTGAAGATGACTTATTCGCAAGCGGGAGCGCAACTAAAAATGAAGGAAGCGAAAGGTCAAGAAGACGAAAGTCGGCTACGACCTTGAGGGCATGGTCCTTTTCAAGTGTAGTGGATTGTTAGAAACCCAGTTTTTGTGAGTTTCTCTATTTATTTATGGTAGGATAATTATTGTTATGGTTAATAGAGATATAGTCGAATTAGGTTATTTAGTAGGGGGTTTCCTTATTTTCCCTATAAATATGTACTTTCGGGTGACGTTATAATCAAGCAAGAAGAATATTGATAATAATTTTCAACTCTAATCTCTCCCAAAACCCTCTCAAATCTCGTCCTCTCTTCGCCCAAAGGCTGCCGACCATTCTTCCTAGTTCTTCCCCAATTATGTTCCTCAACATAAATCCCAAATTTTTCTATCTAAATCCCTAATTTCTTAATCTCAATCTCTAAATCCCTATCTACTGCGAGTAACATGGGTGAAGCCCTAAGAAGAGGGTTTCTTACATGTTACTACATATTAAGACTTCTTTACTAACCACCCAACATTCAATTTTCATTATATCCATCTTATATTACAATACAGAGAAACATTTGTACAAGATAATACCTTAGCCACATACTCCAGTAATAATTGCAACATAGCAATGATCAAGGTCAGCATACAATAGGACAATTAAGTTTGCATAAGTTGTAGCTATATGAGCAGCAAGATCATCAAGCAGTAGGGTAAGAAGCCTGCATAGCAATGCCACAAAGACCTTCCTCGGCAGAAACATCTCTCTGCATACGGATGTATCCTTCTTCTCCCCACTGAGTCCCCCAAGAGTTCTTCACCAACCATAACTACATCCCGCCGCTAACGCCATACCCAACGGCCGTCACACCATGGTCCAGTTCAGTACCACACTCCCCGGTAAAGACCCCACTCTCGTAGAACTGGAACGAGGAATCCCCTACATCAATCGCGACCGAAATGGGTTGATTCGCCACAGCCTTTAGAAATGCGGGCTCACTGTTGGCCGGCACGTCTTCATACCCCTTGATGTCAGCGGCGTGGTTGCCTTGTTTGCTGGCACTGCAGGATCCATCCGCTGCGGTGTAAGGGTAGTTGGACTCGGTGGTCAAGCCCTTGTTCTGGATGATGAACTCGAAAGCATCATCCATCAAGCCGCCATTGCAGCCTTGGTCCTCCCCACTGGTGTCACAGTCGACCAACTCTTGTTCCGAGAGGGACACTTGTTTTCCCGTACTAAGCTGATTAATTCCTTCCACCGCCGCCACGGCCGAGAACGCCCAGCAGCATCCGCACTGGCCTTGGTCTTTCACCGGAGTGACGGCTCCCTTCTTCCTCCAATCCATGGTGGATGGCACGCCGCTCGCATTTTTGTACCTGAAGGTTCCCCGTTGCTGGGAGCACATGTGGCCCTTGAACCTGTTCCTGGTAGTTCTGAACTCCTCGTTGGTCAGATCCGCAAACTGGTTGATGTTAGAGTAGTCAAAGAGTAAAGGAAATAGCACATTGGTGGGAGAAGGAAACTACAAGTTGTTTTTAAGTTTGCTTTCCACTTTAGTTATTGAATAAAGTGGTTAGTGGGCTTTTGGAAAAAGTGTGGGCTATTTAATTTGACATATTAAATCGCACTACGCACTTAGCACTTTGCACGTTTGCGCGACGCGTTCGGATTTGAATTTTTGGCTAATTAATTACCGGAATTATTTTAATTAATTAATCCGAATGATTATTTGATTATGAATTTTGTGAAACGACGTAACCCTTCGGAAGGGAACTGCCGTTTTCACTATAAAAGTTCTGCAACCGAACTTATGTTCCAACGTTCATCTTCTTCTCCTCATTTTTCCTTCTCCAAAAATACAAACACAGAAGTCACGAAAGGTGCTGCTTTCTGACTTTGATTGGAGGGACTCCTGGGGGTGGTTTGCCTAAATCCTACCAGCAACGAAGTAGTGGGGGCAACATAAACACTCTAAGGAAAGTGATCTAATCACGCCTTCAATCGTTCACTTCCATACTGTTTCCCTGACAATCTTAGAGTGTTTAATTTCGTGTGACAATGGATTCTAAAGTGGAGAGCACTTTGAAGGCGTATGCCTCTGATTCCAACAAACTCAATCGGTTTGATGGAACCAATTTCACCCGCTGGCAAGAGAACATGAAGTTTCTGTTGACTGCTTTGAAGATCGTGTATATACTGGATCCTGATTTGGTGTCGCTAAAAGAACCACAAGACACTGACTCTGATGAATTAAAGGCTGAGCGCAAGAAGAGGAGTGATGGCAGCCTGCTGTGCCGAGGATACATCCTCAATTCACTCTCTGATCGTCTCTAGGATCTGTATTCCCAGTTGGCGACCCCTACTAAAATTTGGACATCTTTGGAGAACCAGTACAAATCAGAGAAACAAGGCGCAGATAAGTTTGTCACATTCCAGTTCTTTGAATTTAGCATGAATGATAAGCGCTCAATTCTGGATCAAGTTCATGAATTCCTAATCTTGGCCTCTAAGTTCTCTGCGTTGAAGATAACACTTCCTGATGCATTTCTGGTGGGGGCAATTATTGCAAAGTTGCCTCCATCATGGAATAACTATAGGAAGAAATTACTTCATACGTCAGAGGAGTTCACTTTGGAGTAGATTCAGAAGCACCTTAGGATCGAGGAGGAAACTCGTATCCGTGACAAGGATCTGAATTCGGGGGCACCATCAAGTTCCAAAGTGAATGTTGTGGAGAGCAAGAAGGGAAAGAAGAGAAAGGCCATGAATAATTCCAACAACCAGACCAGCAACCAGAAGAATAAAAAGAAAAAACTGTCCCCTATGTCCACTAAGAATTGTTTCAATTGTGGGCAATTGGGACACATTGTTCGCTTCTGTCCTAATCCAAAGAAGAACCAGAACCAGAACCAGAACGAAGGGGCTGCAAGTGCAAATGTGATTGAGAAAGTTGAGCCTAGTGAGATTGTTGCAATGATTTCTGACTTACATGTGAGTATGATTCAGGAATTGCACATGGCTGGAGTCATGACCAGTGCTGATTGGTGGTATGATTCGGGGGCAACTGCTCACATTTGCAACAAGAGAGCCATGTTCAAGGACTACACAGAGTCAACAGAGGGACACGAGGTTCTGTTGGGTGATCATCGCACGATCAAGGTTCTTGGATCTTGAACCGCGGAGCTTTTCTTCACCTCGGGAAAGAAAGTTGTTCTCACCAATGTTCTTCACGTGCCTGATGTTAGAAAGAACTTGGTTTCTGGTTTCATGCTTTGTAAGAAGGGGATAAAAGTTGTGATAGAATCTGATAGGGTGATTGTGACCAAGGCTGGTATGTTTGTTGGGAAGGGCTATGTTAGTGATGGTATGTTTAAGTTAAGTATTGACAATGGTAATATTAATAATAAAGTTGATGGTTCTGCTTATATCGATGTGCATGCAAATTATAATATAGAAAGTACTTCTTTTGATTTATGGCATAATCGATTGGGGCATGTTAATTTTAAGACTAAGAAATACATGTCTAGAAATGGTTTAGTAGTTTGTGGTGATTATAGTGGAGATAAATGTGAAATCTGTGTGCAAGCTAAGATGAAGAGAAAGCCATTTCCTAAGTTGGTTGACAGAAAATCAGAATTGTTAGAATTAGTACATTCTGATATTTGTGAATTTCATGGTCAATTAACTAGATGAGGATGTAGGTACTTCATTACTTTCATTGATGATAGTACTCGATTTACCTATGTCTATTTAATGCGAACCAAGGATGAAGCCTTTGATAAGTTTAAGTTGTATAAATCTGTTGTTGAAACTCAAAAGGGTAGGAAAATACAAATCCTTCGAAGGGACAGAGGTGGAGAGTATGTTCCAAATAACTTTAACGAGTTTTGTGAGCAACATGGTATAATACATCAAAGGACTGCTCCTTACACCCCACAACAGAATGGAGTAGCAGAAAGAAAAAATGGAGTTCTTTCTTACATGATTAATGCTATGTTGATGAATGCTAGTGCTCCAAATAATTTGTGGGGTGAGGCTTTGCTAACAGCCTGCCATGTACACAATAGGATTCCGTCTAAGAAGCTAAGGAAATCTCCCTATGAGTTGTGGAAGGGAAGGAAACCGAACTTGAGTTATCTTAGAGTTTGGGGCTGTCTTGCTTTCTACAGAGTCCCAGATCCTAAGAGAACTAAGTTAGGACCACAAGCTTTGAAAGGTGTTTTTCTTGGATATGCAGAAAACTCAAAAGCCTATAGGGTTCTAGATTTAGAATCTAATGTGGTTGTGGAATCGAGAGATGTTGAGTTGTTTGAGAACAAGTTTCGACGTGACTCTGCAAATGTAGAACCATGTCGAGTTACTTCTGTAGATTCCTCAAATGAGTCTATCTCTGCTCCCGCTTTTGACATTGGTTCTAGTAGCAAAAGGCCTTTAGATGAACCTGCTGCTAATGAACCACGAAGAAGTCAAAGGGCTCGAAAGGAAAAAAGTTTTGGTCCAGAATTTATTGATCCTCAAGATATAGTCTTTCTTGTAGAGGGAGATAGGTTAAATAAGGTTACAAGAAAGATACCCATTTTGTTCCATGTGCAAGACGATCCCAAAACCTATCAAGAAGCAATGCCTTCTAGAGATTCTGCCTTTTGGAATGAGGCTGTTAATGATGAGATGGATTCGTTATTAATAAATAAGACTTGGGTTCTTGTGGACCTGCCTCCTGGATCTAAGGTTATTGGATGCAAATGGGTATTTCGCATTAAGTATAACACAGATGGATCAATACATACCTTCAAAGCTAGACTGGTTGCAAAAGGGTTTAGGCAAAAGGAAGGAGTAGATTGCTTCGACACCTAAGCACCAGTTGCAAGAATCACTTCCATAAGAGTGCTTTTAGCCTTGGCTTCTATTTACAATTTGCATGTACACCAAATGGATGTAAAGACGACATTCTTAAATGGTGAGTTAGATGAAGAAGTGTATATGGAGCAACCAGAAGGGTTCGTGTTGCCTGGAAATGAAGGAAAGTTGTGTAAATTGCAAAAGTCATTGTATGGACTTAAGCAAGCACCTAAACAATGGCATGAGAAATTTGATTCTGTTGTTTTGGCTCATGGATTTTCTCATAACTCTGTTGATAAGTTCATTTATTCAAAATGCACAAAAGAGTATATGGTCATTATATGCCTTTATGTTGATGATATGTTGATAATAAGAACTAACATGAAAGGCATAAATGAGACCAAAGAGTATCTAACTTCTTGCTTCCAAATGAAAGATCTTGGAGAAGTAGATACTATATTGGGCATCAAAGTAAAGAAACATAGTGGGGGGTTTTGCTTTGAGTCAGTCACATTATGTCGAGAAGATGCTCAAGAAATTCGAGCATTTGGATATAAAGGAGGCTAACACCCCTTATGATGCATCATTTAAGCTTTGTGCGAATGAGGGAAGGGCAGTGGCACAAGTTGAGTATTCTAGTGCTATTGGAAGTTTGATGTATGCAATGGGATGTACTAGGCCCGATATTGCATTTGCTGTGGGCAAACTTTCTAGATTCACTAGTAATCCTAGTGCCAATCATTGGAGAGCTATAGGAAGAGTCTTTGGTTATTTGAAAAGAACCAAAGATTTGGGACTCTTCTATAGCAACTTCCCTGCTTTACTAGAAGCATTTTCTGATGCTAGTTGGATTACGAGCGCTAGTGATAATAAATCCACAACAGGATGGATTTTTACACTAGGTGGTGGAGCTGTTTCTTGGGCTTCGAAGAAACAAACATGTATTTCACACTCCACTATGGAAGCCGAATTCCTAGCCCTTGCGGCGGCTGGAAAAGAAGCAGAATGGCTAAGAAACATGTTGTTAGATATAGAGTTGTGGCCACAACCGATGCCAGCCATTTCTGTCTTCTGTGATAGTGAGGCTACATTGTCTAGAGCTTATAACAAGATTTACAATGGTAAGTCTAGACACATTAGCCTAAGACATGACTACGTTAGGTATTTGATTACTAACGGAATCATTTCTATTGTGTATGTAAGGTCATGCAACAATTTGGCAGATCCTCTTACAAAGGGGTTGCCGAGAGGCATGATCTATGAGACATCCCAAGGGATGGGATTGAGGCCTTTTGTATAGTTAGAAGTAATGGAAACCCAACCTTTTCTTTAAATATTACCTAATTAAAAGGTTCAATGTGGTAATAACAAGTTACTCTAACCGGGAACTAGTTTATTGTACAAGTAAATTAGTTGTAAGAAGGGTGAGTTATAGAACTCCTAATGACGTTCATTTGGAATGTCACCTATGTGAGCATTTGGAGTGGTGCCGCTCTAACAAAAGTAAAGGTCAACTTTTGTATATGCTCATGAAACAGGATAAGCACATGGCCATAATAGTGCTACCCTTGTTGGTGGTTGTGTTTTAGAGAAGAGACGAGTACGTGTGTGGTGTCTTCGGTTCTACCTTTGGATCTTGACTCCTAGGCTTAAGCCCGTCATTGATTCGCTATGAAATTTGAGATGCTTACACTAAGTAAAGGTTCAAATAGAAAAGATACCTTTATTTATGCGTTACTTGTTCGAGGCAGGTATTCTCGACTTTTATTGACTAAGTGGGGGATTGATAGAGTAGTCAAAGAGTAAAGGAAATACCACATTGGTGGGAGAAGGAAAGTGCAAGTTGTTTTTAAGTTTGCTTTCCACTTTAGTTATTGGATAAAGTGGTCAGTGGGCTTTTGGAAAAAATGTGTCTATTATTGTCATCAATACTAGCATAGGACTCGGCCCGTTGGCCGGAAGAATTTTGTCGAAAAATATGGTATATAATAATTGATATAATAGATGATTTGAAATGCATGAAATGATTGTTTTCTATCTTAGTTATGTACATAACATTTTTGAAAGTGATACACCTATGCATAATGTGTTTAGACCTCCATGAAAAGAGAAAAAATATAATATAAGCATTACATATAATTATTGAATGAAAAAAGAATATAACTAATTGTCATTCATTACTTAATTAAATCATATAGTTGAATATTATAGTTGCTTCTCATACATACATACATACATACATACATACATACATACATACATACATACATACATACATAATTAACCCTTAGGATGAAAGAAAATGTCTCATAGAGTTTACTATGTCCTCTAAGTTTTCCCCAATAGAGAGCATTTTTTTTATCACACTGTTGGTAATTAATATGAAGTTGCTTGATTTGAAATATATAAGACATGATGCTAAGTTGTCGCTAATAGTTAGTTGGACAACGCGTTGTGTACGGACTTCCCAAATTATTCTCAGATCGCAGACATGTCTAGCAACAATTAATATAGTAATTTTCATGCAGCAAATATTTTTTTCATGAAATAATTCAATAAATAAAAACGTATAAAAATAATATTACATGAAATATATGTTACTCATTAAGTTGATGAATGAGCGAGGGTATGAGTAGCATACATTTATTTTAAAATATAGAAGTTGCGAAGTGTCTTTTGGTTTGCATGAAATCGCATATTCTCATTATTGCTAAGTGCTAATTGACTTATGTTTTTTTGCAATAGATAGTTGAATATTATAGTTGCTTCTCATAATACATACATACATACATACATACATACATAATTAACCTTTAGGATGAAAGAAAATGTCTCATAGAGTATAGTATGTCCTCTAAGTTTTCCCCAATAGAGAGCATTTTTTTTACCACACTGTTGGTAATTAATATGAAGTTGCTTGATTTGAAATATATAAGACATGATGCTAAGTTGTCGTTAATAGTTAGTTGGACAATGTATTGTGTACGGACTTCTCAAATTATTCTCAGATCGCAGACATGTCTAGCAACAATATAGTAATTTTCATGCAGCAAATATTTTTTCATGAAATAATTCAATAAATAAAAACGTATAAAAATAATATTTATGAAATATATGTTACTCATTAAGTTGATGAATGAGCGAGGGTATGAGTAGCATACTTTTATTTTAAAATATAGAAGCTGTAAAGTGTCTTTTGGTTTGCATGAAATCGCATATTCTCATTATCACTAACTGACTTATGCTTTTTTGCAGTAGATAGTTCAAAATGTGCCTTAAAATTTTTGTTTCCACCCATGTAAAAGAATTGTTTGAACCAAAGGATTGTAAAATCGTATTGAAAAAGTTGGTAGTAGAATATTTTACAATGAAGTCGTAATTTAATTGTGGTTCAACCGTGTCATATTGTTAAATATCACCTATCAATATAGCTATGATGTGAAATTTCATGGTCTAACTGCCGGTACGTACGATCTTTCAATACAACTTTAAATAAAAAACTACTAAAATGTTGACATTATCAAATACCCCTGAAATCTCAGAAATTACAATAATTGTATTAAGGAAAAAATCTTCCAAATGATACTATTGATTTAGGATTTTGAATTGAAATAGAAAAAATATGTCAAATATAATTTTATCTCCTAAAATAAATCAAAACTCAACATAAAAATGCCAAAAATATCCACTATCCAAAGAAGGACAATTATTTCACACTACCTCATTTTCCTCCTCTTTAAATGTGTCCTCTCACTCTTTATTTGCCTTCCTCTTTGTTTTTTCATTTGTTCTTCCATCTCTCTATCAACTTTGTATCTCACAACTCTCCCCCTTTTCCCTTCCTATTTCTTCTCATCGCGGGGAATCGAGAGAAACCTAGAAACAACCCAATTGCATCTCCAATTTTGCGTTCGAAATGCTTCTTATCTATTCACAGTCGATAGTGTGAATCGGAGCACTTGTAACCTGGCGAATAGATGGTCGCTTATTCATCGACGGAGCAAAGTAGTTTGATAGCTTGTGAATAAACTAATTATTAAAAGTGATAAAAAGCAGAACTCGTTAAACCAATTGAGTGAGTGTATAATTAGTTTACCGCTTAAAGCCTTAAACCATTGTATTTATACAAAAAATCCAAATGCATAATCAGGTTCATCTTCACTTTACATATATCTGTCGTACAAATTCATTACACAAAAAATGGTTTTGAACAGATGTCTTATCAAACTAAATCTCATCTTATGATTATTGGATCCATGTCAGATTAGCTAAAGGTCTAAAACTATTGGTCAACCGAGCTGAAAATTTAAACTAATTTAAGAATTATATATCTCTTCAAAATTGTTCAATACTCCATTTCAATATGCAATATTCAATATTCAAACAAATTATATATGAGTTTCAACCCTTTATCAAATTTTTTAGACAAAAAAAAATATCCCGCCCCCCTCACACATGTTTGTAAAGAAATACTAAATCACAATTTCTTTTTCACTTTACTTGCTTCTAAAGCTATTGTTGATGTTGTTTGTTATTAGTGCAAGCTGAAAAAAAAAAGACTTTTCATCTATTAAGTTAATCAAGAATGAATTTATAAATGAATTTTTAGTTGTGTACATTGAAAAAGGTTTGAGTCTCAAAATAAACAATGAATATATTTTAAAACCTTTTAGAACATGAGCCATCGCACCTTATTGTGAGAAACTACTCATTAGTTCAAAATTTACATGTTATTTTTTGAATATTTTATTTTATTTTTATCAAATGACGTATTTCTCCATAAAACATGAGTTCACCAATATAGACTATATGGTGCGCGAACTTGTGTGTGAGCCCTTGGATTTTAAGTCTGGGTATAGTTATATGCATTGTAATAATTAAGTTTTACCTATTCACAACAGCAAAATAAAAACAGTCATAAATGCACCTAGTATTCGATTTTGACTACCTAATGAAATACTACATTTGAATAAACTACAACGGATGTCACAAATAATAATTATACCTCAAAATCATACATAAAATATTTCAAACATCACAAATATTAAGATTAAATTAATTATTATAAAGAGTAAAAATTTTATAATGAGGTTAATTTTATATGTTAATGCCCTATAAATTGATTAATGTTTAGTAGTTAACCAGGCTAATATTTTACAGAACCAGTCACCTATAGTTTGTACAAAATATTATTGTTTCATACTAGTTATGAAAATTCATATTAATTTACAAAATTCTACATCGCTTTTGCATATTCAATACTATAGTTCGATATGCAATATTTAAAGCAATGAAATTTGTGTTGCAATTTTAAGATTACCCGTCATTTTATAGGTTATAAAAATTATAAATCACGTATTAAACTTTGCTTTTCAAAAGATTTAATAGGCTATCTAACCGTGAAAAGTCCTCTGCTTTTCAAATCTTCGCTTAATGCATGTTTACAATCTATGAAGATAAAATAAATTTGTTTAGTGTAATTGGTTGTGATTATTGTTTTTGTTTGAAGAGACCATGACTCAAATCTTGATATTGATACTTTTTCATATGAAGTAGATAATAATTGTGATGACAAAAATACTCTTCCTACTTTCACTCTCGCTTCACAAAATTTTAAATTGAAAATCTTAAAACATTGAATATATCTTATAGAATGAGCTTCTTCAACCAAGTAGGAAATGTATTTTACTTGAAATTATTATATCCTATAGAAAGGGATAATTGTGAAATCGGAACTCAAGTAACATTGATTCAAACATTAAATAATAAATTTTAGACAAAATACATGTGTGGTCAAAACATTTACCTTTGTGACAAATATAATAATTTTTTTGTCACAAATCTATACATAATATAAAGATATATTGGGCACTATGACGAAAAAGAGTTTTCTAGAATCACTCTCAGACCACGAAATTTGAAATGATACTCTCATTTTCCAATTTTATCATTATATTATGTGTAGATTTGTCACAACAAAATGATTATACTCATCACAAAGGTCCATATTTTGATTACACGTCTGTATTTTATCCAAACTAAATAACACATACAATTTAATATTAATGTATGGTCAAAACATTGATCTTTGTGACAAATATAATAATTTTTTGTCACAAATCTATACATAATATAAATATATATTGGGCACTATGATGAAAACGAGCTTTCTAGAATCACTCTAGACCACGAAATTTGAAATGAGACTCTCATTTTCAAATTTTATCATTATATTATGTGTAGATTTGTCATAAAAAAAATGATTATACTCATCACAAAGGTCCATGTTTTGATTACACATCTGTATTTTATCTGAACTAATTAACACATACAATTTAATATTAATGTTTGAATCAATACTACCAGAGTGTTTTGATTACGCATCTGTATTTTATCTGAACTAAACATGAACTGAGTGCAATGACAAAAATGACCTTCCTAGAGTCACTCTCAGACCACGAAATTTGAAATGGGAGAATTTCAACCCATGTTTTGCCTTTATGTATCTTGTAGATTGATACGGTACATAAATATTATGAAAAAATTGAAAATATCATCTTAGTCGATCTTCCTATGCTTGACAATCCCTAGTATAATCAGTATAATCAGTATGTTTTGGTGTAGTTACATATGTATGATGCTAGTTTAATATTTTACTACCTTTTGGGTCCGCGCTTCATTGTGGTAAGAAACTAATGTTATTTAAAACTTCATTAACTTATTTACTAGTTTCATTAAAATCAAACGATATCCAAAATAGTTTGGATAAGACATCGCCATAAGCTTTATGTTGTCTTAATCATTGCAAAATACTTATGTAACATGTTTTTTAGTTGATACCTGGTACATAAGAAATAATTATAATTTTTTGAACTTTATGTGATTTATATAATTATTAGAATAATGTGACATAAATCTTTTGTAATGTGTGGTCTAATAATAAAATCAAGTGACGAAAAAGTATCACATTTGAATAAATTATAATGTAAAAGTTAACTTACATTACATAATATTTGTGTACTGCAATTTTTTTGACAAAGTTCATTTCATTAAGAAGGGGTTAATCGCATGGTTGGTCACTGAGATTACAAAAAACGTTCATGTTTGATCACTAGAAATATTTAAATCCAATCTTGGTCACTAAAATTAGTTAAATGGTTTAAGTTTGGTCACTCTCCGTCAACTTCGTTAAATTTGTCTCATGTGGCAGCCAACACTCAAAGTTGACCATTAACTCAGTGACGTGGCAATTTAAAAATAATAAATACAATAAATTTTAATTTTCTACCATTTCCAACTCATTTTCACAATAAAGTAAAATAAAGAAAACAAAAAATATTATATTACAAATTGAAAAGGGGTGCTTCTTCCGCCACTACATCCCTTCCCCACAACCAAACCAGCTCCCAATTCCCAACCCTAGCTCCGCCCGCTGCCGCCGTCGCCGTCACTCCCCGACCATAATCACCTGCACCTCCTCCACCCTCGAACTAGCCCCTTGCCTTGAATAAGAAGGGGAGATCAGACCCCCACTTATCCAAAACCTTATCACCGAGGACGAAAGGGTTCTGAACAATCCAATCTTTCAAACTCAATTCGGAGTGAGGGTGGGTGTCAATAGCGGCACCATTCCCATCCAGAACTCAGCATAGGGCTTGTTGAGTTGGATCTCGAAGCCAGAATTCAAAGCATAGACCTTCTCGACCAGGGAATCCTGCCCCATTCTACCCCAATCATAATGTTGGATAGAGCACCTCATGCGGCGGAGGGGGCAGTGGTTCTTGACGAATTCAAAAGAATCCATGGAACTCAGCTTTGAAATCGAAGAACGAAGGAAGTGTGAGGGAGTGAGCATGATTAGAACTTAGAAGTAAATGGGGGTTGGGGGTTCTCAGAGCAATGCGGGAAGATCAAGGGTAGTGGGTGTGGTTATAAAGACGGAGGATTGGGATTCAGTGGCCATTGGAGGATTTGCGCAGGGAGAGGAAGTTGAGTGCTATTGTTGGTAAAATCAAGCAGGCTTACAGAGAGGAATGGGAATGTGGGGAAGAGAAGGGAGAGACTTGAGGAAGAAACAAAGGAGAAGGGAACTTGAGGAAAAAGAAGAATGAAGGTTGTCGGCCAATTCTCTAATTCTGATGCGATGAGAGGAATTGATTGCGGGAGGCAGAGTCTTCTTCTTCTTCACCTTCTTCTTCTATGGTTACCGTCCGGAACGCCTTTTATACCTGTAAAAGAATATCGCCCGTGATTATTGCCGTGAACGGCTACGACGCAGGCAGGGGGCGGAGCTGATGAGGAATTGGGAGCTGATTTGGTTGCGGGAAAGGGATGTGGTGGCGGAGGAGGAAGCTACCCTTCAATTTGTAACTATAATAATTTTTTTTTGTTTTATTTATTTTACTTTATTGTGACAATGAGTTGGAAATAGTAGAAGATTAAAATTTATTTTATTTATTATTTTTAAATTGCCACGCCATTAAGTTAACGGTCAACTTTGAAGGTTGACTACCACATAAGATAAATTTAACGGAGTTGCACGGAGAGTGACCAAACTTGAACAGTTTAACTAATTTGAGTGACCAAGATTGGATTTAAATATTTACAGTGACCAAACATGAACGATTTTTATAATCCTAGTGACCAACCATGCAATTAACCTCATTAAGAAGTAATGGACCAAGACCAGAGGAAAAGGTCACAAGACCACAGAAGTAGCAAAAACTAAAAACGCAACCTGAAGCCCAAACACGACCAGCTACCCAATAGGGCCTAGCCAAGGCCCCAGCCCAACAAGGAGTTAAGCTCTTGATCTCGTCGACCATGTATTCATCACTGGACCAACCTTCTATCTTCAAGCTCTTCGATCCGCATCCAAGCCATTGGCCTACATCTCCGAAATGTGTAATGCAATTTGCTGTATAGAGAATATTGCATGTAATACTAAATGAATTTTAGTTGATAATAAAATAATTAAGTTATAAAAAGTATCATATGTTTTAAATGATTTTTTAGAATACATATAACTTTTGTATAATGCAAATATAAGACGATCAACGATTCCGTTAATAATATACGAATTGCATTTCAAACTTATATTATGGAAGACTTAAGTAATATGTTAGTGTAAGTGATACATAAAAAATGTCATCCATCCTGAAGTTTTATATAATTTCTTAATGATTACGAAAGACTTAAGTCATTTTTTTGGTTTAATTGATACATATGAAATAAGTATCTCTTCCTAAATATTACGCAATATAATTGTGTTTTAGGGAAATATTATAGAAAAGGGTTACGTAAATCTTTCGTAATATGGGATCTAATAATAAAATCAAACTATGGAAATTATCACATTGATTAAACTATTGTGTAAAAGTCAACCTATATTGTAGAACCTTTGTGTAATGCAAATTGATATAATAAGTAAAATTAGTATTATGAAAATCAATAAATAACAGGTCTGACAAAACATTTGTGTAATGCGAATTGATCAATTCTCAACGGTTTAGTTAATAATTCCATTCAAACTTATAATAAAGGGCTTTATGGCAAAGTTTGTGAGGGGATACAAAACAAAAATTATCAAGACATCTGACCGTGGGAAAAAAAATACTTATGTATAACAACTATTCATCCGTAAACTTTGCGAATATATTTTTAGTTTACTTAACTATCATTGAACATTGTAAATTTTTTATAATGTGTGATCTAATAATTATATATGTAAGTGATAATTTACACGCGGAAACCTTTGCGTAATAGAAAAAGTAAATACTAATCATTAGGCGAATCTTTCCCACGAGAAATTTTACAATGCTATATAGTATTGGTGCTATAGGATTTTGCCTTTATGGTACAACTTAAAACTGTACATTTACGTTATGGTACAACTTCAGATTGTACCTATACTTTTTGTACAAATTCTTTTATGGTACAACTTGAACTTGTACTTTTATGTGATGGTACAACTTCAAGTTGTAAAGTTGTACCATAACATAATGGTACAAATTGCTTTATGGTACAACCTAAACTTATACATTTAATGTTATGGTACAACTTTAAGTTGTACATTAAAGCACCAATACTATATAGCATAGTAGAAGTGCTCCTTTCCCACATAACTTTCATACATATAGTATGGATGGAAGTATCACGATGATATGAATAAATCATAGGGGTCATTTGGAGAACGGGATTTAGGGCGTGGATTCATTGAATCCGTAGATTTTTTAGAAAGTTATTTTTTTGTTGCTTTTTGTATGGTGGATTTTAAATTTAGATACTTGAAATCTCTAAAATCTACGGATATCAAATCTCTCATAAGAGAGAGATTCTATTTATCTTGATTCGTGAGATTTTTTTTCTCCTATATTTTCTCTTTCTTTTATTTATTTATTTATCATATTAAATATATTTATCAACAAAGTTTTTAACATTTCTCGAACTACTCTACTTTTTTATTCAGGATAAACATGTTATTTAATATAAAATTTAATTTTTATTTTCATTGAACGTTAACAATCACAGTTACCAAACAATAAAAAATTTCAAATCTATTTTCAACAATCTGAAGAGTTAGAATTTTTAAATTGTTGACAATCTATATATTTAAACTCATATTCTCCAAACCACCCATAATGTAGAATGATTGTATAACCAGATCTTAAGCACTTAAGCCCTTTCTCGGTGGGGCTCGTAATCATAAGAGACACACATGCAGATCAGATATATACATCCAAAAAAAAAAAGTTTGAATAATTGAGTCAATTAATCAGTTTGTTCCTAGCAGGCGTAAATGATGACTTTCTGTAAACCTATCATATAGTGGGCATGGAGCAAGCGAGACCCACCATTGATATACATACATGACTTTCTGGTTGCCACTTGCAAGTCAAAGCGCCTAGCTATGCCTATAGGGGAAGGGAATGATGAACACGTACAGTTGACTGGGGAGACTTAGAAAACCTCTATAAATGAAGGCGCCATAAGCACTACGTACGTACTTCCGATCATATATATATACATCAGAGATTGATGAGATACATTCATCATCCCAAATATTATAAGTGAGCGACCGCTCCATCGAAATATGGTTTCTTCTAAGAACACTATCGCTGGCTGGAAACTGGTGGTGGCAGTGGCGGTGATGATCGTGTTCGTACTTCTCTCGTCACCCCCAGCAATGGCTTCCAGAGTCCTACTGGAAGTTGGAGTCGTCAAACCAGATGGCTGTAAGTCGTCTTAATTACCCTCCTCGATCGTCCTCGTAATTATTCATGCTATATATATGTGTAAATTGCAAGCAAATTAATATACGTACGCCTGCAGCCCTAAATCTAATCTCCGTTGTTTATGCTCAGGGGATTGGCCACACGGAGGAGGTTACCATCCACCAGGCCAGAAGGACTGAAGAGCCCAAAGATGCTTTCATCGATGCACTCTTAGCTTGCCGCATACCGCTAAGGCCAGCAATGGTGATCATATATTACATATGTCGATGTTGTTTTCTCGGGGGTAACTTTTGGTGTAATAATCTCCGCAAACTATGCGTTTTGCTATTGTGGTTGTAACTGTGTTTATTTTAATTCGATGTTACTTGAACTTTTTATCTACTTTTTTGTTGTTGTTATTGTTTATTGTGTTGTTGTCCAACTTATATACATTTACGGTGTACCAGTGCTCTTGTTCTACTACGTCCGTCGTGTGATGAATAACATATTACGGGAGAGGTGGGATTGGTGGGAGAAGGGAGCAGATCCGGTGAGTAACTTTGTGGTGAGTAACCATGAGTAACCCGTCCACATCAGCATGACATCAGCATCCTCTCTCTCCTGGAAAGCTTTTAATTTTCTACTCTTTAATCTTGACAGACGATTTCTCACTCATTTTAAGTCAAAATTTAATTTTTTTTACAGTTAGATCAGATTAATTGTGCTCTTCAAAATGATATCCACTTTAATATATTTTTCGAACAAAAAAAATTGAGCCATTTTTTACCAGTCTATACCATATGGTATTGACTAGTATTGAAATAAAAGCATACCTATGGTTTGAAAAAAATATCATGGTGGTATGAACAAACCAAGACTGTAGGATGGTTGAATACATGATAGTAGAAATATATTAATTGTCATTTACTACTTTTAACATTGTATACCACAAGATACCACCCGGTACCAGGGTGGTATTGTATGGTATTGTGTGGTATTTTTTGGTCCTGTAATTTGTTCACCCATAAATTTGTAGATCCAATAGATCATAATGAACTCGTCCCTTCTGTGCAAACGTTTTCAAAAATGAATTAAAAATGAAGAAGATACCATACAATACCACCCCGTACCAGGGTGGTATTGTATGGTATTGTGTGGTATTTTTTGGTCATGTAATTTGTTCACCCAGAAATTTGTAGATCCAATATATCATGATGAAATCGTCCATTCTGTGCAAACGTTTTTAAAAACAAATTAAAAATGAAGAAAATACCATATGGTATGCAGTTGGTACCGAGAGACCGGAATTTTTTGTTCTAAAAAAATATTGAAAATTGATATCATTTTGTAGAGCACGATGAACTCGTTCCACCTGTGCAAAAAAAATTAAAATCCGAGTTAAAACGAAAAAGATATGAGCCGATTAAGAAAGCTAGAGAAAATAAAAATGATCTTCAATTCTCCATCTTTAGATCTGGATTTTCTAAATGAAGGGTGCAGATTTGGTTATTGATGGATGCATAACCCATGGTTATGCACCCTATCTTGAGCCGTGGGAGAACAGGAGTAACGAATGGAGAAGGAGAGCGAGGGAGCTGGCTAGGTTTGGGCAAATCTTCCTTGATTTGATTCATAATTATTCCCAAATCGAACTACAAGAATACTTGTACAATTCAGATTTGTCTAATAACTATACGTACCTTAAATGATTCTTTATGTCAAATAACTCCTACAGTAACAACTACTATATATGCAAAATTCAAAGATACCCAAATCTCAACAAACATAAAAATTAACGTATTAATAAAAATAAATGAAAAGAATCAGGTATGGGAAACGGAGTGTTTTTTTTCATATCGGATCATACATACGATGTATAATGCATATCGAGAAGCCAGAGCATAGATCAAAGCTCCAACCAAATACTACACTTACGGTTCATACCAAACCTCGTATGTGCGGTAGGTCTGGTACGATATAGAACATGCATACCACATTTAGTGAAAAATGAATTGTTTTTTAGCCAATCACACAGAAAAATCATTAACCGAGAAAAATATGTTTTCCCATTACAACATAAATTCTAAAACATGCTTAATTTTGATCCTATAAATCCAAGTAAATAACAAAAGTAAGAGTCAGTGCAATTCAACTGGCACCATAACGTCATAAACATTAACATAATGCCATATGAATACATGATTCTCTCTACTTTGTGGCGTAATGTGGTTTATAAATGAAGGTGGAGACATGATTCATAAAATTAGGGTTGAGACTTGAGTTGATGGTTGAGAAGTTGGGAGAAATGTTGAGTGAGCTGCTAAAACGAATTGGAAGTTGGTTGGGTTCACGGTTTGGTTTGGAAAATCGCGGCACACTAGACCAGACCAAGAACTCAACTCATCTTATAATACAGATCATGAATCAAATCAAACAATTCTTAACTGGTCTACCGTACGAACCAAACTTTATAGTATGATTTGGTCTATAAATTTTCAAAAGATCTTATCTATTTTCCCAACCCTAGAAATAATGATAGCATTAAGCTCTTCGTCATCTTGCCAACATGCATCTATAATATTCACCAATGACTTATCATTATCACTAATACCGAGCTTCCAATTTTCTTTGCTACTACATATTACAAATTCCCTTTTTCAATAATTTTGGCTTAGACGTAATGAAATTGTGAGATGTTAGATCCACAATTATTGTTTGAATTTATGGAGCAAGTGTGAGCCTATCTGGATAAAACTTTACCACTCGGTAATGCAATTGCTAGGTCATTTGGTATTATGTTCAGACCATGTATAAGAGCTAAAGTCTCTTGACAATGACAGGACTGAAATGTTCAACCATTTTTCTTGACATCAAAACCATCAATTCATACCATACGAGTGACGAGTATTATACAACAATGACATTTCATATTATTTTCAACAAAGGGGTTGAAGCTGATCAATTCGCTTGATTCACTTTTAAGTTGGCTCCATGTTCATTCCGTAGGTTGAGGGGGAGTATTAAGGAGTTTATGTGATTTATTAACACAATGTGTTTTATTTAGTCCACGGACAAGAGAGTGCACCTTCACTATACTTGACGAGATTACAACAATGGATTGAGAAGTATATATATAGTACATCTCCCAATGACCTAAACCCTAATCCAACCCCGTGACAAGCAGTCGACGACATATAATCTTCAAGACATATCAACAACTCAAATTATTGGGAAAAAATTTGTTATTTTTTATTTTATCTCTTGCTCATCCCTCAAACGAAAACCTACTTTTTGAGTTTTTACCGTTTGGACAGGTCCAACATACACATCTTTAAGTTTTTCAGATCCGATCGGTAAAAAAAAAAAAATTGTCTTAATCACTATTTCTTTACATCTTAGCGTGCTATTGAAATCTGAGACTGGGAAAAGAAGAAATTTTGGCACACCAAAAGTCGTAAGAATAATTAATTGATGCAGAAATTTCCGCATGCAGACTTAGTGTCATACTGTCATCGACGTACTTGGCTCACTAAATTCAAAGTCGCCGGTCGTTTCACAAAGTCCTTATTATAATCAGAAAAGTAAGTGTGATCTGTAATCTGTTCATACTCCGCCAGCCCATATTACGCTACGCTGTGTATATATATAGTCGAATATCGACGGGACAACGTACACAAGCATATACATATATACAGAACCAAATAAATAAATGGGTTATTATGTGAATAATAATTTCTTAGTGCTGCTTAGGGTTTTGCTGATTGTGACGACCGCGGCCCTCCTCCTGGCTTCCCCGTCGGCCGCTGCCACAAGTTGTAATTCCGCCACCATCCGTCCATCTGGAGTGATAAGAGCCCCCACTCCCAGTTGATCCATCAACCCTTTGTTTTCGTTTCTGAATTAGTATATTTATGAAAGCTTGTATATGTGCATGATCGTGATAATATTCATGCCACAGGGGCGGTATATGTTCGCGGTGGTGATCATGGCTGCGGAAGTTTTTTCTCTCGTAAGTTAAGCTCCGGGAGATTTAGTGAGCCCGACCGCGGCGGATTCAATGAGCCCAACCCGGCCAAGGGTGGCTAGACTTAATCATATTCATCTCTACTATTCGGATGGTTCTTCTTTTTGGATGCCTGTAGTAAGGCAGACTAGCACGTTAATGTTCACTAGCGGCCAACTAAATTTGCCTGTGTAAGTTGATTATCATTCCTTATTTTCAACCAAATTTTATGAAATAATAGAAGAGGGAGATGAGAATTTGGGAACAGAATCCACCCTAAGTCCGGGGAATCGAGGTATTTTCGTGCTACGCGGTACCTGACATTAAGCGGGGCTAACAGCCTAACACGATATGGTGCGGTTCGATCGAGCATGGACAAGAAATTAAGGGATTTCCTATATATTAAGAACTAGCTTATAGCCGCCCGTTGGCCGAAAGAAGATTGTGTGTATTTTTCTAAACTATAATAAGCATTGAATTTGTCGATCTTTATGATTTGGGAGCTTCTATTTCTATATTCTTGTGTTAGTGTGGTCACAATCATGTCTCTTGCTGCTGAAATGGAACCTCCTTTGTTTCTCCCAGTGAGTTTGCCAATATGGCCAGACCATGGAAATAGTGAATCTAGGAATGATATTACGCCTCTTGTAGAGATCATATTTAATTTGTTGGATGTGAAGGTTGGGAAGGAAGGTGAGAGACTTGTAAAGCAACACCCACATATAGAATATGAAAGGAAAGGTGTGGGTAAATTGTGCATAATGAATTAGAAGAGCATCAAGTAGTGGGTAAATTGTGGAAGAAAATCCAAGCATAACTACCTGCCGAATATTACTTGTTAATTTTTAATTTAGAATGTCAAGCTTCAAGAACATGTTGCTTTATTTGCTCAAACTTGAATGAAAAATGGACATTTCACTTCCAAAATTAAGTAACGTTTGAACTTTTTTTTTAATCAAAGGATGTTAGGGGTATTTGTTCCTTAGTTCGGAACCAGTTTGGGAGTTTGACTCCCGATTAGATCATACACCAGCTAGTAACAAAGAGGGGTATTCGGAGCATAAATAAGGCAAATTCCGACGGGTAAAAAAAGATCAGTCGATGCAATTTAATCTGTCACCATGTTTCTTTTCCAGTATAATGCTATATCCGAACGTTCCAACCTCATTGCAACAAACTTTTCACTTCTGGTATCAACGTTGCATGTGGATGGGAGGGTAAGGCTGAGCCGACCAAATAACGTTTGAACTTTGTATGTGACGAACTTAAGATATGAATTGATTATTAATTTCCCAACCGCCTCAATCTCTTAGAGAAACAATAATTCAAGGTAAAGGTAGCAGGCCTGATTTCGTCAGGTTGCTTGGAGAAGTTCTCTATTTCATCCACTCCCTATCCTTGAATTATACAGGAGGAAATCTAACCTTAATGACAAATAAGGAAATTTGATTAAAATACTAAAACAAAAACCTTGTTTGAAACTCTGGGTCATCGAAAGGTTTACTTGGAACCACTTGTAGCATTCTCTTTGGCAAACCAAGCTAGAAATGTCTAGGGGTTTGCTTAAAAGTTATTCATATTCAAATTTGGATCAGCCAAACCAATCAAGAATTCTCACGGTTGGGTTATTTCCAGGAAACTCCTCTGAACTTGGTAAAAGCATACATAGCTAGAAATTATCAATTTTGAAGCATAACTAACAAATCCAAGCGACGAATGAGTAGAGCGGAATTAATTTATGGAAAATTATTTACATTTCAGGAGGTTTGCAAGAAAGTCACCATTTGTCACAGCGAAGGAGAACCAAATTATTGATAAAACAAATGTCGATTATCTAGTTCCCACTATTCGTACTCGGTTGACATGTCGACAGTCAGAGGAAGAAGCATATCGTGAAGTATCCTAATTATATGAAAAGAAAAGTCAACCACAAACCCATCGACATCATTATTATGGCAGAGAAATTTTAAGAAAATAGGTATGATAAACATTGTTATAGGTTATTAGTAAAGTGACCAACAAATGAAAGAGTGTATGGTGAAGAAACTGAGCCAGTGCCCCTTGGGAAGCTAATGCAGCCAAATGCTCCAGTCTTTACACTACTTGTTGTCGATGAAGAGAGTTATGATCATTAAGTTGTTATGCCAAAACTCTATTCTATAGTTATGACATTCCACAATGCCTATGGCTTTCACATAAGGTTGCTTGAAGCTCCAATATATGGGTCCCACAACAACCAAGTAACAAAATTAGTTTAACGATGATGAAGACCAGAGCTTTGCCATTACACCAAGAGACCTCATGTTAAAACCAAAACACGAATTCAGGTCCAAGCACAAACTGAATTTCATAAAGCGAGAAATTGTAACCAAATCAATACACAATGGTCCTGCGGTCTGCTTTTTGTGTTGATGTTGCGCTTTTGCAAAATGTTTATTGTCGGTCTATACACTGTAAGTTGTAAGATTTGATTTGGGAATTGAGACTTGTGCTTTTACTTTTGTGTTATGGTGAGTGGTTTCTAAACTAAAATTGTTTCAACACAGGCTTTCTAAGCTGAATTTGTGCCCGCTACAATAGATCCGGTGTTCATTGTTTTCCTTGCGTGAAAGAGACCAATTAATTTATGAAATAACTGGATGCCCACAACAACCAAAGATCTAAAGCAGTATATTGGTGATTATATAGGCAGGAGCTTTTGCCATTACACTAAGAGACCTTATGTTAGAGATTGGCTTGAGGAGAGTCAAGGAATCTAGGTGATCATAATAACAGTAAAGCCACAAGTATAAAGGTTAGCTGACATATTGACTATTAACTAAGAACCAATTCAAAAGAAACAAAGCACCAATTCAAAAGAAACAAACTTCTAATTGCCAAGTGTTTTGGACGAGAACATTCTCTAGCAACCACCAAGGGGTGGTAGAGGTGGTAAAGGCGTAAGTTTGTGTCCAGGAATTTTCTAGGTTCGATCCTTGGTAGCCGCCACTTCTGTGTTACCCCCTTGGTGACCACCGATAAGGCTGTAAGCTCGTATTAAATGCTCACAGGGTTTGTCGGGTATCTATGAGGGGTTTTCTCATAAGATTGATTTTTCCTCGTATAAAAGAGAAAAAATATTCTCTAGCTTGTAAACAAAAGCAGGTATCTGTCAATGGCTTTGATTTGATATTCCATTCTCCCCTGCAGCCCTAGTGTGTACGTTCATCATCATAATTTCATCTAGTAGGTTCCAAAGCTTCTTCTTCCAAATAGAAACCCCTACCATGGTCAATGCCTTCATAGTTTGTGGATTTTCATCTCCCTATGAATATAGTGGATTGAATGTAAACAATTGTCGAAACATGCAGAAACAAATTTTCTGGAAAATCAACTATATTTGGTAAGGAAAACCGAGAACAAATGGACAACAGCAACTATAAATGCAATTAAAAGAGCAGGTGATCAGTAGAAGAAACCAAATTGAGGAAGGGAGGGGTGGTACCAAAGAGCAAGGAAGTGGAAGCTGTAAGCAGCGATTGTATTGAGGGTTGGGGCGTAGTCTCTTCTTTCCCAAAAAAAGGGTTTTGGTGCTTCATCTCATCCTCGCCAAAGAAGAATCCATGTGCAACACAAGAGGGCAGTGTGTTTCTACCATTTCCCTTGCGTTATGGTGAGAGAGCTGATACCAATGAGCAAGAAATAGAAAGATGACAAATCTGCAGGTATAAAGCTTAGAAAACCCACAGAGAGAGGGAAGGTAAGTATAAGAGAAAGGCTCAAACCAAATAGAGAGCAAATCAAGAGTTGATAATGGTTGTTGTACAAATCACACACAAATGAAGAGTTGAGAATGGTTTTGGTAGAAATTTGTAAGCGTCATCCTAAGACCTGTTCAAATGAACGGTACACCCATCTAGAACTATTAGTTTCATTTCAGTAAACAAACACACCGTAGATAACACTCATTCTCTAATACTCTCAAGTTCAGGAGAAACATTCTGGAGCATTAATCATCAGTCTGAATCATGCATAGTGAAAATACAAAGAAGAACCCAACAAAATCGCAAACCAAAGTGATTTACCATATAATGTATACAAATTTCTATCCAACCAAAATGGCAATTTGTTCTTTTAGATGACGCTCGAAGAAAACATTGACCACATGCACCATTATGTGCAACTTCAAAATCAAACAAAAAGCCCTCTCCTTTTACCTGGTCTGACCAAGCCAGCTTGCATACTCCAAATCGATCTTCTTCGCTAGGATACTTGCATCTATGAGAAGGAACACAGAGACCAACATTGAACGGTTGAGGAAGTAATCCTTGGTAAATTTGGCCCAATCTTTCCTACATTCATGTGGTGTAGAAACATACCTCATACCTGCATAGAAGATCATAACGGCTTGAAACATACATCAGGTTGAATCGCGACACTATTGTAACTTAAATAAGTACCAATTCCAAATCTCCTAAATGAAAATTGATCAATGGTGGAACCATTACCCATATCCAGACAAATACTCCAAGAACCAGCTCTCATTGATCCTGAAATGGTTTATGCTAGGGGTGGAAGTTTGGTTTGCGGATTGCGGGTTATCCACAAACCGCACCAAATCGCATACATTGTGGGTAACCATACCCACAATTTGTGGATAGTGGGTTGCGTATGGGTAACAAAATATTGATTTTTGTGGTTAGTGGTTAACCACTATCCACAGCGGTTAACCCACAAAACCCATAATAACCACACTAAGTATATTTATTTATTAATAATACTTTGTAATATTAAAGTATGTGAAAAGTAGAATGCTACAAATTAAAGTAGGCTCCAAAATCAAATATATACTTATTTTATAAAATAAAACTAAGTCAATACATAGTGTTCGTATGTGATACTTTTATTAAATAAGTATTGTCCGTGTGGTATATGTTTATTTTAGGGCAATGTCTATTTTTTATCCAAATCTTTTTCGGATTCTTTTTTATTAGCCAAACCTATCAAAATACTAAGAATTAACCAAATGTTAACTTTCAGTTAGCAATTTTGTTAGTAATACTGACTTGGCAACATGATACTGATTTGGAAGAGACATATGAAGGTCAACATTACAATATCTTAGTATTTTAACTAAGAAAAGAGTTACAAAATTATTAACGATAACGTAAAAATGGCTAATATTTTGATTCATTTAGAAAGATTTGGATAATTAATATCATTTTAATAGGTTTGGATAAAATAAAAGAATCTGAAAAAAGTTTGGATAAAAAATAGACATTACCCTTTATTTTATAACAAAACAAAGACGGTAAATGTGGTTTATAGTTTATTTAAAACTTTATTGATTAACTTTCTTTTATGTAGGTTTTTGTTTTTGTGTAAGAATACGCTAATTCCACAACTCGGGAGAGAGTTCCATTTATCCAAAAAAAAATTGAATTAAAATGCAAGGAGTCATGTCGCTGATAAAGATGCTATGTATATTAAGATTAGATCCCCTCCAATCCATACTCGTTATCAATATGCATTTCCTAAAGAAAGTGAAGTGACATGTAAGCGAGTGAAGTGAGCCGAGGAGAGGGAGGTTGACTACTTAGGAGGTTCCGAATATCGGATCTTTGCTCGTTCCATGTCTTGGGCTTCTTTACTTAGTTTTAACTCAATGTATTTTTTTTATTGTCGTCACTCGACCGATAGGTTTATCATATACGAGTCCAAAGGGTGAATGAAGGAAATTTTTGTGGGTATCCACATCCAACCCGCACCAATCCGCAGTGGATAGTGGTTAACCACTACCCACTATGGGGCGGGTTGTGGGTAGTATAATTCTATATTTGTGGATGTGGTTACCCGCAAAATGTGGGGCGGGTAACCACACCCACCCCAATTTCCACCCCTAGTTTATGCATTGCTTCTTCCCTTCAAAATTTGAACAATTTCAATACCAATGAATGCAAATTTCCACTACAAATTCCCAATTCAAAGCCACATAATCTAGAAAACCATTATGTACCAGGTTTCTTAGAAGTGAGGGCGAGCTTCTCGCTTCTTCCTTCTGACCAGCGAATTGAGAAGAGAAGATTTCCCGATATTCATTGGGGGCAAAAAGATTTCCCGACGAGGGCGAACTCCGGGGAACCATCGGAGAGGCAATCCTCGGTCCTCACGCTGCTCTTCACAAACTTAGCCTGCACACCTGAGCGTACTTGCTCAGCACTATGTTTGAGCCCTTGAGAAACCTTGTGGTTGGGTCCTCGTGCGGGACTTGTGTCTCTGGCGGGATGAACAGCTTCTCGAGTGGAATCAATAATTGGGCTTCTGCTGGTGACGGCGGTTCGAGAAGTTGATTCACCTGGATGGGCTCGGCGGCGGATAGGGCGTATTAGGGCTTGCTTAGGGTAGAGAGTGGGTAGAGCTTGGAGCAGAAGGTAAAGTTGAAATGGCAGGAAAGAGACGGGGGAGAAGTGGAGCTTCTGAAAATGAGCTAAAACCGCCATTGCTTCTTAGAAAAATCTTGTTTTCCCTCGTCTCACCATTACAGTTACATAAAGGGAGAGAAAAAAGCCGCGTGAATGCCCTGTCCCGCAAATCACTCTAGGAGCAGAGATTTTTGAATGGAGGGTGCAGTTTTACGTTTCCACTATAAATGATACTGTAGAGTTATTTGTTGGTAGGGATATCAATAGTGTGACGCTTGGAGTGCTACAAAAGCCTTTTCTCTTTTTCCCCACTAGCAGCGGGCCCCGCCCTTGGCCGGGAATGTTTAGAAAAAAATTATGTACGTATAACATGTTTACAATATAATAAGAAGATCAGACATAGGATTGGAGAAAGAAATACAATTGTTCAAAGAAGAAAATGCCTTATTTTGGTCTTGAAGTTTGACGTAAAAGAGGAATTTGACATGAACTTGCAAAAAAGACAATTTTTAGAATTTTGAAAGAAATTGACAAATTTAGACTAAAATGTTGGTTGACCGTTAATACTAATAGTCATCTTCACCCATGATTCAAAAAACAATGCTGAGGTGGCTGCAAATGCAACGTGGCTTCCACTTTATAGGGATAATACAATATTTTGCAATGAAGTTGACATAAATTACAATATTGGCCCGAATTTTCAAATAAGACAAGTTTGTTCTGACTTTGAAAGAAGTGGACAAATTTCGTCCAAAACTTGGATTGACCTTTAATATTGACATTATGGATAGAGAGGTTTAGGTTCCAATGTGGCTACCACATTATTTATTTATAACATCTAAAAAAATTATTAAAAATATGAAAAATTTTCAGAAGAAAAAAATAAGACCACAAAATAGAACCCTTGACTTATCCTAATATTTTCATTTTTACTTGCATTAATCAAATTAAAAAATAAAATTGATTAAGGCCCCCAAAAATCCCGATGCACAGAACTGAAACTCTCTTTGTACCCATCCACATCAATATTAACGACAACCGAAATTTTGTGCCAAATTTATATATTTCTTTGAAAATTCGGACAAAATTGTCTTATTTGAAAGTTTAGGTCAAAATTATTTTTGACGTTAATGTTCATCCAAAATAGTGTATCCTCCCTATGAGATGGAAGCTACGTCGCAGCCACTTTAGCCTTGTATGTTGAGTCATATACAAAAGAAATGTTTGACCGTCAATATTAACGGTCAACCCAAATTTGTGCATTTCTTTCAAAACTCTGAAAAAAACTATCTTATTTGCCTGTTCATGGCAAAGTTGTTATTTTTCGTAAAAGCTCAGTCCAAAATAAGATATAATACCTAAATAATATAGGAGTACTCAAAATATTTGACTAATGAAGTTCAAAATGTTTCATACAACATTCAACCCTGATAAAATTGCAGTCCAACGAACTAACATTTAGAACAAATGATTTTCCGACAGGATAAATGCAACTATAAATATGGGTGGTTCTATCATACTTTGAGTAAGAAAATGATATATATACCTCGAATGATATACTCTGAGTAAGAAAATGATATCTAAACTTTGAATTGTCTGGAGATTGGGATGTGGTACTATGCCCTAAACCCTTAATATTAAAATCTAGGTCTTAATTCTATGAATCTCATATACTAAGATCAGTTCAATTAGAAACAATAATCGAAAGTCATGTTTCATCGAAATACATCCAACAAATTATGTGCATCATCTTGATGTTTAGGGCAAGGATTGAAAACCCTCACTCCTCAAAGGTTAGGTATAGTATCATGACCCGAAATCCGGTTAATTCAACGTCTAGATTGCCTTTTCTTACCAATGTATGTGTTACCTTTTGTTTTTACTCAAACTACGATATAAAACACCATATATACTCACATATGTGTGTGGTTGTGTGTGCAAAATATAATGGGGTTTCCATATATTCAAGCTAAACCGATTTTCGACCATTAAATCTTAGCGCATTTTCTCGACCGTGGCAATGATTGAAACCGAGTTGACAACCTTGAAAAGGATTCAAATTAATATCTACACCAATGGTTAATGGTAATATAGTTAAACCGATTTCCGACCAATAACTCTTAACTCATTTTCTTGATCGGACTAATAACTGAAATCGATTTGGCCACCAATGAGTAAAACTAATATCTTACACCAATGTTTGTAGTATATCGAACCCACGCTGCCTAGTACTTTATTTTAAAAAAAATCAAGTTAACAGGCTGGTTTTGGTTTAGATCCCTTAAGATCATAAAGGGATATAGCAAATGAAATAAGTAAATTTGGGTTTTATGTAAAAAAATATCACCCGTAGATTATAGAATGGATGATGTCAGAAGGAGATGGGTTAGTTTGCTTCACGATTGAGGAGAGGAGGCGGCCCTAACTAGGGCTGGAAGTTTGGTATCGGTATTTGGGATATACCGAATACCGTATCGAATTTGTCTATATTTGGTATTACCGAATATACGTATTATTTTGTGGGATTGGGATTGGGATTAAATTTCAATTGTTATTCAGTATTAGGGATTATGGGATTGGGATCGGGATATACCGAAATACCGATCAATACCGAAATGATCCCCGAGTGAGGTCAGTTTAGATGAAAACCCATGCGGAGTGCATTCGGCATCACACTCTTGAGATCGTTGTCTCGCCACATGCTGAGTCTCAGAGTTACCTTGTTCGAAGTGAACAAGATGATTCCTCACCTTGTAATTCTCCCACGGGGAAGGAAGTCATTCCTGGAAGCTTGAGCGAACGTGTCCCATGAGCGGAATGAGATACAAGGTTGTTCGTCCAGCTAGGTTCTGGCCTCCCCTTCTACAAAGTAGATAAAGAGACCTATTCGTGTCCAATGTGACTCACTTTGAAAAAGGGGTTCAGAATCATATATCCTTTGGAAATTTTTGAGGGATCGATATGATTTTCATAGATGTTTCCCTCAAAAAGTCGAGCCTCTTCAATTTTTTGAATCGTGACTTGTTGTACCTTAAGGAAGGTATCAACGTCGATTCGAGGGACCGAGCTACATCTTGGATTAAGAGGTCTTCCATGCTCGTACCTGGGATATGCCCCAATGCTCGTGGTTGTATAGGTGAAGAGTAACTTCGATTTAGAAGTGCTACTACGCATAATCAGCTTTGTATACAAGACTGAGAAGGACATGCTCCTGTCATAATTGGCGCCTCACCCCGAATTTTGCCTGAAATTGGCTCTAGGCTCATCATCATTTGTGAATCTGCCTAACAAGAGCACAAATGATTTACGGGGCGTGTCGAGCCTAGATTTTGTGAGTCCAAGTATGAACATGAACACGACATGATATCTGTCGCGATGTTCGCAGAATCGCCCATCGCCCATCGGAAAACCGTTATCTGGGTCTGGCCATTGATTTGGTCCACTGGCCAATAAAGCTCAAAACATGGGCCTGCAACCCAATGCCAGAAGAGAACGAGTTCAAGGAGTTGGGCCTCTGTCGCAGCATCGGCGTCGCGTCAGCAACTTATATACTGCCAAAATTTATGCCTTGCTCGATTTTTCCTCCATCCCTCCTGCTGTTAACTAGGTCTCAGGTTCTTTCCTCCCCTCCTTCACATCAAACTAGTCTCTAAATCATGTGTCATGTGTGATTGTTTTATTCGATATTCACAATATTTACACAATAATATTATTATATCAAATTATTTTTTATATGTATAGTATCAAAACTTTTAATCGAAAAGTGTTGTACGAATACAATCCTTACGATTTTAGCAATGTTGTCAGAACCGAACCGGAGCATGACCCAGTAATGTAAATGGCCCGCACTTTAGTGATCCAATCAGTATAGGGCCGTTTAAAAACACGTTAGAGAACCAATATCTTATAATCAACAATATCATAAGTTTAAGACACATAAGATAATAATTTCAAAGTTCAGTGACTAAAAAAAATTTACTTTCAGGTACTAATTAATAATTTTATATATATAAAACTGAATTGCTAAACGTCGCCCTAAAATTTAAATTTTATCGCCCTAAAATGCATTAAATTGACATATTTATCCCCAATTTATAACCAAAACCTTAAACAAACAATTCCCTACCATGCCCAGCCGCCGCCAAGCTCACTGTCCTCCGGGCGCTGTTGTTGGACTCTTCTCGTTGGCAGCTGCCCACCTCAAGTTGATTTTGTCCAATACTTGGCGGCCGGAGACTAGGACGGATTCCAAGTTGATTTTATCCTATACTTGGTCGGCCAGAGTTTCGGCGGCAAGAGAAGGGAGATAAGGGGAGAAGAGGTGAATTGCAGTTGGCTGACTGCCACTTGTATTGCCAATCTAAGCTAGAATCAGCTATTGTGTGTTCAGTTGCTCTCCTTGATCCATATCATCCAAGGCATCAGGATCATCATTTCGGCGGCTTTCTTCCATTTTTGCAATTTAGGTTTCTGATTGTAATTTTGTGTTTCGATTCTTAGTTTTTTTGGCAAAGGTGAGGAAGAGCGCGGCTGGCGGAGAAAGAAAGGTCACGCCGGCGACCGCGTATGTATAGTTTGGCTGGGTTTGTAACACATATTGCACTAAGGGGTCGTTTGGATGTGGAAATTTGAAAACGTTGGAATTTGTCTGAATTTCCATGTTTTACAAAACCAAGGAATTGACTTGTGGAAATTGAAAAAAATTTCACGTTTGGATATGGTTTAGTTTTGTGGGAATTGATGGTGTGGAATTTGGAAAAAGAAGTAAGAAAACATGGTAATGTCAAATTACTAGGGGGAGGTGTAGTATTCTCAATTACCATGAATGTGGTAATTGAAGCCAATTTCCATGGTCCAATTTCCATACCCTTTTTGCTCTCCCAAACGTGGGTTTTAAACCCAATTACTGCGTTATGTGGTATTTGGGTCCAATTACTGCATTGCATTTCCACGTCCAAACGACCCCTAAGGATATTTGAGTCATTTTGATAAAAGTTAGGGCGACGAATAAGACATTTTAGGGCGACGAATAGCAATGCCCTAAAACTACTAAAAACCCTACCTCATTCCAACGAGATGCAGCGCCGCTCAATCCACTCCTCCCCGTTTCACTTTCTTCTTCCCTCTTTCATAATAAAAAAAAATGCTTCCTCCCGCAAAATTAAAATCACCAACGATTGAACTTCTTTTTGATGCTCTATTCAATTTCTTCCTCTCTGTTTAACCATAAAGGATCGATTT